GCCTGGTGCCAGGCCTAAAGGCAGAGTCGGGCCTGGAGCTGCCAAGGTGAGTGGGCAGTCTGAGGCAGGGGGAGGAGTTAAGCTGAAGGTTTGAGCAGGTAGGTGCCTAGCAGTCAGCAGGGCCTGGCTTTAACTTCAGCGCCATCACCCTTCTAGCCACCTGTGGTTTTGGGCTGTGCAGGCGTGGAGACTGGGTTCCCAAGACTGAATTATGAGAGCAACTCAGTCAGTTTCATCTTCAAAGAGCAGGCCTCCCATCTGTGAGGTGTGCAGGCTGGACTAGAGGAGGGGGGTGAAGGGGGCTGAAGGCTGCCCATCCCTGCCTCCCTCCCAGCAGCCTCTGCCCCACAGTCCCACTCCCACCCCGAGAGGAAGGGCCCTGGGTGGAGACTGGGACAGTGTTGCCACATCCCTGCCAGGCCCGTCTGGAGCCCGCTGTGGGCTGGGCCTCCTGCTGCTGCCCACCTGTTTGGTGTGGTGACAGGTCAGCGCCCCCCAGCTTTCATAAGCAGTTGGATTTTAAAATAAGAACTCTGATGTAATGTGACCCAAAATGGTATGTTAAACTTGGCGAAAAGGCACAGGAGCCTGGAAGGGTAGGCGGGGAGGTGCAAAGCTGAGGTCAAGGGCCTCTGGCTGGGAAAAGCTAGTGAGCATGGCCCTTAGCTTGTTCTCGGAGTCGCCCTTGAAGTGCCCAGGACAGGGGAGGGGCGGGGGAGGCCTGGGGCCTGGGATCAGGTCAGCGGGGGGCCAGCTGTAGTGGGTAGAGTGATGGCTGGAGGAAGGTGGGTGCACCTCCATCCAGAGAAAGAGGGGGAATCCTGGAAACTCCAGGTCATTACTCCCTGGGGGCTCAGACCAGGAATTGTTCCAATTCCATATGAAAACCGCCAGAGTCAGGAGACCACGCTGTGTGACCTTGAGCAAGTCCCCCGCCTCTCTGGGCCTCAGTCTCCTCTTCTCTCCAGGGAGGGATTGGAGCAGGACATCTAGGGAGCCCTGCTTCCAGCCTGACATCCTGGGAACTCCAGCAAGGGGGGAGGCGTCCTGGCTAGCTGACAGGTGACTGGTGTCCCCTCAGTGGAGCCTTGTGTGTGAGGACGGCTGGACGGGGCCGCTGGGGCCAGTGGAGCACCTCCTGGGCTGGTTGCTGGGCTGTGTCCTCCTGGGCCTGGGCTGTGACCGGTGAGACGCTGCCCCTGCCCTTCCGCCCTGGCGGCCCTCCCCTTGAGCCCCTCCGGGTCCCCTGAGCACTCCTCACCCAAATCCACATGTCCCCTGCTGCACACCAGGTTTGGCCGCCGGCCTGTGTTTGTGGCCTCCCTGGTGCTGGCCACGGGCCTGGGGGCCGGTGAGGTCCTGGCCGCCAGCTTTCCAGCCCTGATGGCTCTGCGGCTGCTTCACGGGGGGGCCTTGGCAGGGGCCTCCCTCGCCCTCTATGTGGCCCGTGAGTGCCCGGGGTGCCTGCTGGAGGGGAGGGGGCAGGTGGGTGGCACGGGAGACCTTTCTGGCACTCCAGTCAAGGGCCCTTCTGGAGGAGGTGGGAGGGGCACTCTTTGTTCTGTGAGCTCTATGTTTTGTGCGCGGGCCTGGTGTCAGCAAGGCGGCAGGTCGGCCTCAGACATCCAGCTCCTGGACAGGGCAGCAACTGGCCGCACAGCCCTGGACAGAGAGCCCTCCGGAGAGGCCTCAGCCTCAGGCCACCTATGTCTGCTCAGGGCTGGAGCTGTGTGACCCGCCTCACCGCCTGGCTTTCTCCATGGGGGCCAGCCTCTTCTCTGTGGCGGGCACTCTGCTGCTGCCCGGCCTGGCCCTGCTTGCGCAAGATTGGCACCTTCTGCAGGGGCTGAGTGCCCTGGTGACGGGAACCCTGCTGCTCTTTTGGGGGTAAGTACGGCGGGAGACGGGTCCATAGCTGCCATGGACGCCACGTGTGTCACTGCCCTCTGACCTCCGTGCAGCACCAGGCGTGTGGGACAGGGACACAGAAAACCATGCGATGTGCCTCCCTGTGGGCTGGGAAGAGGGGAAGGGGCCTTGGCCGCTGCTCTCAAGGGCATCCTCACCCAACCCCCACAGGTCTCCAGCCCTGTTCCCTGAGTCTCCCTGCTGGCTGCTGGCCACAGGGCAGTCAGCCCGAGCCAGGAAGATCTTGTGGCACTTTGCAGAAACCAGCGGTGTGAACCCCGAGGACAGCTCGGAGGAGGAGAGCTCCCTGGCTACTGGTAATGCGCCAGCTGGGAAGAAGGAAGGGGTGCTGGAGGCTGGAGGAAGGTGTCGTCCCCTCATACGCACCCCATTATGTCCCCGGGGCTGCAGAGCTGGACATGCTGTGTGCAGGGAGCCCTCAGCCCCAGCACCACTGGGTCCTGGAGCTCCGGCACACCCGCGTCGCCTGGAGAAATGGACTCATCCTGGGCTTCAGTTCGTGAGGAGGGGAGGGCCTGAGAGGGCATGGGCGGGCTGAGGAGGGGGGTGGTCCTTGCCTTCCCTTTGGGATGAGTCTGGTTGCCATGATCCCTGGCTCTGGCTGGGCCCCTAACTTTGCTGTTCCTCCCAGGCTGATCAGCGGGGGCATCAGAACCAGCTTTCTTTGCAGCCTGACACCAGGGGAGCCCACCTTCTACTGGCCCTACTTCCTAGTGGCCGGCCTGGAGGCAGCAGCCACCATCTTCCTGCTCCTGACGGCTGACCTCTGGGGGCGCCGCCCAGTCCTGCTACTGGGCACCTTGGTCCTGGTCCTGGCGTCCCTGCTGCTTCTTGCGGGGACCCAGTGTAAGTGTGGGGCCCCACAGGCTGACAGGGCTGTTGGGTTCAACCGGGGGTCTGCCCGATGGGGGTGTCGTGGGATCAGACCCCTCCTGGGGCCTTGAGAGAGACGCACAGGGCGCGAGGTGCCGAGATGAGACCACTGTCTCCCGAGTGTGCACCTAGGGAAGCTGAGGCCCCGAGATTTAAGGGCTAGAAGCATTCCACAAGAAGGGGCTTATTGTAAAGGTCTGGGTCAGGCGGGGCAGCCCGCAACTGCTGACCCCCAAGCAAAGGGCACAGGTGCAGAGGCAGAGAGACGGGGAGGGCAGGCTCGCAGCATCCCTGAGACTCGGAGGAGCGGGGCAGGACCCCTGGAGAGCATCATGTGGGCAGCACTCTCCTCCTCCCCAGACCTTCCCAGCTGGACTGTGCTGTCCCTCTCTGTCCTGGGGCTCCTGGCCTCCCAGGCCGTGTCTGCTCTCAGCAGCCTCTTTTCAGCAGAGGTCTTCCCCACAGTGACCAGGTGAGGGGGCCTAGGGCTGGGGGGTGGGGCCCTGCCCACAAGCCCCACTCCCCAGCTCCCTGGTGTTGGCACTGGAGTTTAGAGGTCTCTTCCTGGGTGGCTCGGGGGACAGTGGTGACGTAAAGGCCCACATGTCAGCAGAGGAGTGGAGGCAGGGGGAGGGGAGAAAGCAGCCCGAGGTGGGCGGTCAGAGGGGAGAGCCCCAGAGAGGGTAGAGCTCCAGGGGGAGATCACTTTTCGAGTTTCTAACGAAAAGGACAGAACTTGTTCCAGGGCAGCTCTTCCCTAGACTTTTCGGTTGTTTCCCTGGGGCTCCCACACCTTGGCCCTGCTGAGGGCCACCTCTGGGGCCAGGCCTGCCTGGGGGCACTGGGCACCTGGCACAAGGCTGTGTCTGCAGCCCTTAGGGCCGCCCCACCGTCCTCTCTTGCAGGGGCGCCGGGCTGGGCCTGGTGCTGGGAGCTGGATTGCTGGGCCAGGCCACCTCCCCACTGGCCGACCTGCACAGCCGGCAGGGCTTCTTCCTGCAGCACGTGGTCTTCTCGGCCTTTGCCATCCTCGCCCTGCTCTGTGTCCTGCTGCTGCCCGAGAGTCGTGGTCGCGCGCTGCCCCAGTCACTGCAGGACGCTGACCGCCTGCGCCGCTCCCCGCTCCTCCGGGGAGGCCCCCTCCAGGACCACCTGCCTCTGCTGCCCGCCTCCCAACCCCAGGCCGGGACACAGCTGGCCCAGGAGGGGTGACCAGGCTGCAGACACACCTCCCCTCAGATGGCCACACACCAGTGCAGGCGGAGGGGGTCTCAGGAGGGAGTGAGAGGCCAGCAGGAAGCGGGCCTGGGTTCCCGGGGGCCCTGGTTCCCCCAGTGTGCATGAGGAGGATAAAGGTGACCGTGGAACTTGGCATCCTTGCTGGTTCTTGCCTCAGATGGCACCTGTGGCTGGAGGGGGCTTCTGGTGTCCACCTCCCCTCTGGAGACTCACAACCCGGAACCCAGGGCATCTGTAGCTTCCACCCCATTGGGGGCAGCCTGGGGGCAGCCTGGGGCCAGCCCACAGCTGCAGGCCTGAAGGGACTGAGGTGGACGGAGGCCCTGCTGGTCACCGTGCCAACTGCACGCTGGAGAGACTAGCATGTCTTTAATTCACATTTGCCGGAGGGCGGCTTCCTTCCCTGCAGAGATGAGGTCCACGTGGGCGGGAGGCCGAGCTGGGGATGGGGCCTCTGATACCCCTGGGGGCCATGGACTGGGCAGAGGGGCACTGCCTTCTGGCCGCTCCACTCTGGGCTCTGGGTTCTGACCTCCCCTGCGGGAGCCAGGCTGACCAAGCCCCTGGGTGGGGCCCAGTGCCCTCTGTCCACCTCCGGGGGGGTCAGCTGGGCCTCTCAGCCATACAGCCAAGTGAGGGGTGTCGAGTTGGGTCCTGTGGTCTGCCTCCTGTGTCCAGGGCCCCACCAGAAAGCCCCTCCCCCGTCTGCCCTCACGGGGGCCCATACAAATCAGCCAGCCGGGCGAAGCGCGGGCCCCAGTCCCAGAGGCAGCTGTAGTCCTGATCACCGTCGCCCAGGCTGGAGAGGATGGAGCTCAGCGTCCCCGCCTCGGAGCCGTCGCCCTCGTAGTCGAAGATGAGAGCCGTGTCGTAGGGTGGGACACTGGGGTCACTGTCTGCAGCCTCCAGGCCCTGCGGGAAGGCCTCAGGGCTCAGGGCCAGCTCATGCCAGCGCCAGCCAGCGCGCATGTGTAAAGGGAACAAGGTCCTGCAAAGCAGCCCAGAGCTCGAGGGCAGTGGCTCCTGCCCAAGACGGTGGCATGGAGGGAAGGTTCCCTTCCTCAGGCTAGAAACGCTACCCCCCAAGCCCCCTCACACGTGTCCAGCCGCCCACCCTCCTCACCCCTGGTCCAGCCCAAGGCACATGCCTGAGTCTGCGTGGGGGTGTGGGGTGCGGTGCCCATGCCCTGCCCTTCCAGCCCCTCACCCCTACCTCTACCCAGGGCACCTACCTCGTTGATGAAGTCAGCGATGTCGGAGGGGCTGGTGGGCAGCGTGCGGGCGGCCTGGGGGTGCGCTCTGCCAAATGGGGCATCTCTGCGCAGTGGTGGCCGTCCCAGGGGGGTGCTCAGGGCCACCAGCTCTGCCGGGTGGCGTAGCTGGTCCATGTCATAGGCGTCCTGCGGAGGAACAGCACGCGGGGATTCGGCCACCTCTGTCGCCAGCTGGCGTTTCGTCCACGGGCACCTTCCTGGGGCGGCTTGCGAGGAGGCCGCAGGCCATCTGGGGCCCCTGGGGGCCCCTCCCCCACCTCAGTGCCTGTAACCCGCCCTACCCCGCCCTCACCCTCGGTCCCCCTCCCCGCCCCTCCCTTCGGTCCCCTCCCTCCGCCCCTCC